GATCCCAGGCCCCAGATTCTACTTCTACACAGTTTTTTGTTTTTACATTCTCTTTCATAGCCCAGTTATGCTTACTTTCTGTTTTCATGAGGAATTTCTTTTTCTCATAGCAACTTTTATATTCTTGCTTGGTTACAAGTCACATTTTTTTTCTTAAGGGAGGGAGTGAAGGGGCCACAGAACATATCCAGAAGTCTAATTCTCCGTGAGTTAACTGAAACAAGCAGCACAGAGGTGAAGGGTGAGAGACTTTCAGTCCTCCAGTTTGAAAACTTCGCCTCAGCATCCTTGATTGCCAAGGTTACCATTTCTCAGTTATCCCTCTCCCCCCCCCCCCGTGTTCCCTGCAAGCTCCTGCTGCTCAGGCAGCAATTTCAAGGTTTCATCTTCGGTGTGCATTTGCCCATTAGCTTGCAGTTTCTGTCCACTTGGTTTTTGTGGTTGGCAATTCGCTGAAATTTTACTGTTTTTACGGATGAATCTGACAGTTCTAATCTGTAGAAGACTTTCGCTTGTAATCTCGTGGGTAGAAAATAGCAAAGAGGCCTGTGTCCTCCACGGCCCTTGTACAAGGGTGAGAAGGAATGTGCCTCTCAGCTTTCCCCCTCTTTGTTTTTGTCTGTTTGTCAAAAAATTATTAATCACTCCATTATACCATTTTGCTCAAATTCGATTATTTTTTCAAGTCAGAAGAAAGCTAGAGAAGTGAGTTCTCACTCTTTTTCTTCTTTACAGTTCGCCTTTTCCCATTTCTCTGTCTCCCCTCACTCTGTTTCCATTTGTCACCTCCTAATTGCATGCTAAAGAGATAATTGACATACACTTGCTTCCTCCTTGTGTTAAAAACTGCAGAATATATTTGGCTAAAAGGTTCTTCAAATATTCAACAAATATGCATTTACCAATTATTAAACTAGAAATTGGATCACACAGTGCATGTTCTATGAGTCATGGTCTCTGTACATAGAATCCTTATATTAGACTGGATTGAGGTAAAAAAGATGGATTGTAATGCAGTAGTGAACAGCCACTGCAGTGAAATGATATTCAACCTGGTCTTGAATAAATCCTATAAGAGGAATCCTATACTACATGATGACCAGTGAATACAAGTTAGTTATTTGGGGCATTTAGGGAGAGTCGCTGGGAATGGAGGGCAGGTGTCAGCTGACAAGAAGTGAGATTTTGGTGCAGGCCACACAGGAAATAGAGAAATGAAGAGGAAGAGCATAAGATTAGGGTCAGAAAAAGCTCTGATAGGGACTATGCCTTTTTTTCTTTCTTTCTGAGACTGGAAGATCACATGAAGCTTTTAAGCAAGGAGACATCATAGCTACTGCTTTTCTGAGGCATAGAGATTGCATTATCTTTAGTTGATGATCTTTAACCAAACTCTGAATATTGCAGTATACCTGGGAAGCTCAGATACACACTTTAAGTATGTGTGTGCAGGGGTAGGAAATCTGGGAAGGTAAGATGCACTCTTCAGCTTGTGTGAGGGCTACTGTATAGTTGGAAATAGGAGGGACATAATGTGGCCGGTGAGAAATTTTGGTGACATGCCTTGTTTTATCATAGTAAAGTAGGTTAAGTGTGTAACTTAAGAGATACAAATGGGGTATGATTGATGGACTGGACAGAGTATTGATGGTATGAGAGGAAGAAAATAGTATTGTTACACACTTCCAGATGTTGACCTACATTCTCATGTCTCGCCTTCCTATGACAGCTTGGCAGCTTTGTGGGTGTCTCTTTTTCCGTGTGTCTTGTCATGAGCTGTCTCTTCTGCCATCTCATTTGGTGAGTGTGCAATGGGATGGGAAAATGATGGATGGTTGACCTTGTGGCAGAGATCATTTGTATTGGTGAAGCTATTATCAAGAATTACGTTAAGCAGCTCGTGGTGTCTAATGACTTTTGCTCTGTGTTATGTTAACAAGTGCTGCTATGGAATTATGGGATTGGATGTAGAAGGGGAGGCACAGTGGCTGAGAAAAACGAAACCAAGAGGATTTCAATCAAAACCAAGAGAGCTAAACAGCACAAAATAATATAATTAAAGATTAAAACCAAACATTTTGTTTACTGAGAGTGTTTTAGGCCAGGTTCAGCTTAGGGTTTCTCTAAAAGATTTTTCAATAATGCTACTATTTTTCTATGCTACTATGGTACTCTGTTAAAAGATATACTGGAACATGCTTCAAAAGAGGCTTATTTAAGAATATTCTTCTTAAAAACTTTATTCAATAATAAACTCCTTAAATTTGTTGAATCTGAAAACTTGTTTTAAAAATACGTTTACCCAATTCATCTTTCACTAATGCTGAACTAGAATTATATGGGGCCAATGATTTAGAGATCACAGTTAGGGAAATGTCAGTCTAATATATAATCAAATAATTGTGTTTAAAATATATTGTGAGGTGAACATGATAACCACAATCTCAAGGTCCAAATCAGGAGCAGAAGGAGAGAGAGCACGAGCAAGGAACTCAGGACCACGAGAGGGGCACCCACACACTGAGACAATGGGGATGTCCTATCGGGAACTCACCAAGGCCAGCTGGCCTGGGTCTGAAAAAGCCTGGGTTAAAACCGGTCTCGCTGAACATAGCGGACAATGAGGACTACTGAGACCCCAAGAACAATGGCAATGGGTTTTTGATCCTACTGCACCTATTGGTTTCGTGGGAGCCTAGGCAGTTTGGATGCTCACCTTACTAGACCTGGATGGAGGTGGGTGGTCCTTGGACTTCCCACAGGTCAGGGAACCCTGATTGCTCTTTGGGCTGACAAGGGAGGGGGACTTGATTGGGGGAGAGGGAGGGAAAGGGGAGGCGGCGGTGGGGAAGAGACAGAAATCTTTAATTAATTAATAAAGAAATAAATAAATTAAAAAATATATTGTGAATATCAAATATTACATGGACTCCTTCATTTATTCTTAATACCAGTTATAATTATGATCAATATTATTAAAACCCATCCCTATTGCCAATAAAATATAGTTATGAAGTAATTTATTCAAACTTACATAGCCAACAAACAAGAAACTTGATTTTAGACCCAGTGAGCAAGTTTAAATATTCAAATGTCTCTCCCTTTGTGCAGAGCACTGTGAGGGGCGAGGGTTTGCTTAGACTCAGAGTTCAGGGGTACAGTCCATGTTGGTGGGGAAGTCATGGCAGCAGGAACCTGAAGCTTCTGACCACATTGCTTTTTAGGTCAGGAAACAGAAGGTGACAAATTCTCTTGTTTAGTTCACTTTTTTCTTTTGAAGACCATGATCCCAGCCGATGAAATGTTGTCATCTAAAGTTAAGATAAATCTCAGAACCTCAATTAATTTAATCTAGCTAAGCCCTTATAGTCTAGTCAGTGCCTGTCTCCTAGGTAACACTGCCAAGATGAGGTCAACCATTACAGTCATAATCAGGAACCCAGAGAGCATGGATTTGAACCCTGAGACTAGGGAATTGATGTTTTTAAACCTTTGAACTTTCCTTTCCACCACATGATGTATATACTTTCTGAAGTTAGGAAATATTAACACATATCTATATTAAAACATACACTACATCAAGCCATTTTTTTCATGCATTTCTCCATGTAAAAGAACACTCTTACTCAGATTTGTTTGCTACCCTGGGTCATGGATTGGAAGACGGGTTGTTTTGGTGGTAAAGGTGTGATGAAAGAGTAATTAAGTGACCTCAATGGGAAGAAAAATCAGGCATGGCTAGCAAGAAACCCAGAATGTTGTTAGAAGAAAGACAGACCAGAGTCTGTACGCTAAGCAAATGTTGAGTTAGATGTAGGCTCTGAATTTGGAAGGTACTGGGGGAGTTGTGTGTATTGTCCTTCCTTGTAAGAGCATCCACACAGAATCTACTTACCTTTGTTCTGCTTCTGCCTAACCATTGCAGTAGCTTAAATAAGGATTTTTGAATTATGTCATTCTTGGTTTGAATATTTATTCTATCATTAAATGTGACCTTAAGAAAATTTCTAAATTGTAGCAGCTACAAAATGAGGGTAGACATTATATTCTGAAGAACAAGAGAAATAATGTATAAGATGCTCGACAAAATAGACGCTGAATGTTTTGATAAAGAAGTAGTTACCATTTTTCCTTTCCTTAATTTTATGAGTTCAATTTGAAAATGTTAATATTTTTTAATTCTGATTTTTTCCATTTTTCTTCTACTTCTGGTAAAGTACAATAAATTTAATTCAACAGCATTGAGTCTCCCACTGCAGAGTGGTACATATTGTTTGGTAAGATTAGCTGGCTACAAGAAAACTGTGTTACTGGGCTATTTTCAAAATCTCAGTTCAAATATTAAATTTGAAATGATTTTATTCTGAGTAGAGTTCACCTAAGCAATGAACATTTATTACTTTTTGTGTATGTATATGGGCATATACATGCCATAGAACATGTGTGTATGTATATGGATGTACACATGCCATAGAACATGTGTAGAAGTCTGAAATTGAAGAAATATCCTTCAGGGAGGGAAAGTAAACAATGTCGTTGGAATTGCATTTATGTTTATATGAACAAGGAAATGTCAAGATTTCCAAGTTGTTTTCAGTTGATAAAAATGGACAAAAGCAAATTGTTGCTTGATTCTTGGCTTTGTTTGGAAAACTTCTATTTCCTATTCACAGTTCTTACATAGTAGGGTATGGTACCTCATACATGTAATCCTCATTCGTATTTGGGAACCTGAGATAAGAAGCTTATGAGTTCAACACCAGCCCATGCCACATAACAAGACCCTGCTCCAAACAACAACGACAAATACCACAACCACAAATAACAGAAATAAAAACAAACTAAACACAGTAACATAGTTTATATAAATAGAACCTTCAATGTGAGAAATTCAAGTTTCCTGGGGCCAATTATGTCAAGGTGTCATGAAAGACTTGCATGTAGTACAATTACAGAAATACGATGATTACATGTGCTGAGGAATTGTCTTGCTTTTGTGTCGCAGGATGAGTAAGAGAGACTTACAGAAAGCCACAAAAGGAAAGCTGCTGATGATCATTTTTATCGTGACCTTGTTGGGGAAAGCTGTTTTCAGCGCCAACCATCACAAAGGTGAGCTCTGCGCGCCTGCGCTGTCCGTGTGAGATGGTTCCTTTGAGCAGAGTGCGATACGCTGTCTTCACTGGTCTGCTCAGTTTTGTTAGGTGTGGGCTCCCCCTAGCAATTTTCATTTTCTCTCAGTAAAAAAGCAGAGAGCTGTCTTCAAGTTGACTTTAAAAGGAGAAACGTGGTGTTTTCAGGATGACTTCCAGGTCTGCAAATATTGTCCAAAGAATGCAAAATTCTGTCTTCCCTCCATTGTTAAGGGTAGCTATGTTAAAATGTTGACTTGGCGTGTAATAAAGATGAATTTCAAACTGCCCTTATTTTCATAAAGAAAATGTTTTTCATGGCACATCTATTAATCATATGTATACACTATCTGCAACGTTTTCCTTTAGGTTTTTGTAGACCACGTCTTTTTTGGCATTGTGCCTCTGTGCCCGTCCTTTGGAAACCGTGATCCTTAGTAGGCTCTGTCCTACCACGGAAAAGTGAGACTATTTGTCTCTATGTGTGCATTGTCAGCTCAGAATCATTCCCTTTTCTCCTTTCTTGCCATTAGACTCAGCGTAATGAATGCCTGCCTTTTCCAAATGAGTTTAAATGGGGCCATTTCTCCATTATATCCACCATAATCAAGTACTCATAACCTGAGAAGTCAATTTAGATATTTCTGTGAAATATGGTTTGGCTCTTCAATTCTCTGTCCACCACGAAGGCTAGCCATTTCCTTTCTTATTCTGTTTTGGGGTAAAGGAGGAATTAAGAGTGCTTTGGATTTGCTAACACTGAAATTATTTACACACGTGCATTTAATTAGCCTTGAATGGAACATTATAACACAGAGAGATGAAAGATGTGGTGTGGAAATTGACGTCCATAGAACAAACCCCTTCCTTTTTCTTGAAAACCAATAAATAAGACTTTACGTGAAGGAGAGTTTTGTGGAGAGTTTGTTTTTATTTTGTAATTCTGTTTTGGGGCTATAAAGGCATGCGTGTTTGTAAATGTACATTTTTCTTTCAATTAGCCCATGTTCTGTCAATGAAACTTTTAAACCTCTTTAATAATTGTTATCTTGGTTTGCTTTGCTGTTGCTATGGTACAGTATTCTGATGAGAGCAACTTAATCACGATTCCGTGTTATAGTTGATTGTCGCAAGAAAGTCACAGTCGTAGGAGAGTGAGGGAGCTGGTTACATTTCTCTATAATGAGTATAAAGTGAATGCCACCATAAAAGTCACATTTAAGAATCCTTAAGTCATGCAGTACAGTGCTAGATCCAGAACTATTAGCTCCTCTTACTGCTTGTTAACATGATACTTTACATATTTCTTTCTTTAAATTTTATTTATACATTTCGAAAGGTATTTATTTAAATTATGTGGGCACATGCTTATCTGTGAGTGCCGGTGCCTATGAACTCCAGAACACAGCCTCTGCTCTCCTGGAGCTGGAGTTACAGGTGGTTGTGAGCTGCCTAAACCAACTCTTGGGGACTGAACTCAGGACCTCTGGAAGAACAGCAAATATGTTTACCTGCTGAGCCATCTCTGCAGTCTCACAGCATAAAACACTGCATTGTATAAGAAAATGTCAACCACCAAATGCAATCCACTGTGCAGCAGAGAGTCCAGGTTATTTTCTAGTCCATTTCCACCTTGCCGTTTGATTGCATAAAGATTTTTTTGTCCCCCTTTCTCTCTCCTCCTTTCCTTTCTTCTTCTCCCCACTCATTCTTTTTGTCTTGAGTTATTTTACACACAGAATTATAAGGGCAATGTAAACACAATTGTATAGCACATGTTCATAAAAGTGAACACAGTGTTCTCAACAACAGGTTGGAAAGTATACCCCTTCTAGTGCTCTTGAACCAACTGTGTCAGCAGACTGACTTCATCCCACGCTCCTGTAGTGTGCTGGCATAATCATTGTTCTAAATGTTCCATTTAGAATGCCTTTATATTAACAATAACCTCTTCATGTGAGCATGAATGCACATTTCCAACAGCAATTTCCTTAGCTTGGGTAGTTCTTGAATTTGTGTACACAGTATTAGGCAGTAAGTATTCAATTGTAATTTTGTTATTTTTTTCCAAACAGTGCTTTTAAGGTATGTTATAAAGTATAACACATCGATTTTCCACAGTTGATCCATGTTGCATGAAGTTACTGCAAACATACTAAAAACATAGACATTTTGCATTCTATTTTCTTCCTGTTCTGAACAACAATTTAGGAGTATTGTTGTACATTGCTTTTAGTGCACATGTGCAAGTTTCTTTGGTGGTAACATTGCTGAATGGTGTTCTAGTCTAATAGCACAGATAAAGTTGCTCTGAATATTTCCTTTTTGTCTTTTTGTACCCTACTCTCTGTGTATCTTCTTCAATTCTGAATATATCTGAAATAAAAAAAAATTGTTCAGATATTGGTCGATTTATTAATTTTCAAAAGACCAATTTTGCCTCTACTGTTCCTTTCATACAATTTTGCATTTTATTATGTAAGTTATATATTTTATTCTGCCCATAAGGTACTAAAATAATAGTACTATGAATTTACTTGTTCGTATGTGGCAGATACTTTAGTTACATCCCGTTTGTGCCGTCACCTGTGTTAGGGCCTTTGACCATCACTGGGTTTGCAATGTTTCTTCTATAAAATCTCCGGGCTACCCTGCCACTGGCTTTCCCTGTCACAGATCTGCCATTTCCATAGCTGTTTGGTAAGGCCTAAATGTTTATAGTTTCATTAACTTCCTCAGTTAGGCAAGAAATACTTGCGGCTGTTTCCTATTATAAAGGCAAGCCCTTAGAGATAGATATCTGGTGTATCTACCCTGGAATTATGAAATTTGCATTCTCAATAATAATAGGGCGAGAACCTAGGATCCATTCCAATCTGGGCTCAGTGAAGCAAAACAAGATTTACTCTTTGGGGTATGGGAGCACAATGGCTAATTCTTTCTTGCATCTAACACATCCTTTATTCTTTGTCACTCTTCTGTGCATGTCCCCTCTTCATTACATGAACATGTCTTGATGACATTTAGGCAAGCCAGGCTGATTCAATTACAATATGAAACCAGTCTCTGGCTCCTTACACCTTGGTGAATACTCAAAGCAAAAATATTTAAAGTAATCTAGTGTCATTGAAGAACATCCAAGCTAGATACGAGCTCATCTAATCTTCGTAACAGTTGATGAGATGGATACTATTGTATAACAGCTTTTATTGATCAGAATCTGATTAGTAAATGTTGCAAGTGGGATTCAAATCTGGCAGTCCTGCTCCATGTCGCCATGACATATTTGGTGCTGAAATCCTTCACTACTGGGTGTGTTTGTCTGGCCTCTTGAGTCCACAGATTAATATTGTTCATGAACAGCATATAGGGGCTGTCACTCCTACCACTAAGCTAGAAGTGTAATGTGCATGATGACATTCTCAACACTGTTCTCTCTGTGTAGTTCAGCTTTGGTATTACATTTCTACTTTTCAGATCTTTCTGTGCTGTACTTCAGAGTATGTATTCAGGTCTTCCAAAACCATTCATTTTTTTGTGTTTTCTTGTGTATGAGTTATAGTTTCATCCACTAATGAGCTTTAGTTTTATTTATTACATGCCTCTAAAATTGTTTTCTTTCCTGAGAATTTTCTGCACTATAATGTCTTTATGGTCCTCACTTCAATTTTCTGCTTTCCATCTTATGAGATTTTCTAATTTGTTTTGCGAAATAAATTAGACATTTTGTTCTCTTCAGAAGGAAGGACTATATCATATTTATATTTACTCTACAGTTTTGTGAATTTTTATTTAAATCTTTTAGTTTTTTTGAGCATTTTATAAGTACTGTGTTTACATCAATTCCACCCTTCCCTTTCACTCTTCCGAATCCCCCCAGCTGCCTCTCAAATTCACGTCTTTAATTGTTGTTGTTTTGTGAACACACACACACACACACACACACACACACACACACACCCTGTACTGAGTCTTTCATGTATATGTGTTTAAAGCTGCCCACCTGAGACTGGATAGGCTATCAGGGCTCTTGTCTCTGCAGCAGGCCAGTTCTCCCTCTTTCAGAATCCATTGGTTGCCTGTTTCTTTTCATTGATTTTTATTGAGCTGTACATTTTTTTCCTGCTCCCCCTTCCCTAAAGTCCCCATGCTTCCAATTTACTCAGGAGATCTTGCCTTTTTCTACTTCCTAGGTAGATTAAATCTTTGTAAGACTCTCTCAGTGTCCTCATTGTTGTCTAAGTTCTCAGGGACTGTGGTTTTTGGCTGGTTTTCTTTCCTTTTGTATGCCTGTAGTTTTTAATCTAGTGGTTCATCTTTGTGAAATTCTCTCCATTCCTATCAACATGTCATTTTGGGTTTTCATTATTAATGTCTTGTTAAGGCACACATATGATTGATATTTCGTGGGCACAGCTTCTCTATTGGGTCCAGAAACATCATTTACAGCCGACGTACTTATCCTCTGGTACTTAGAATCTTTTTGCTCCCCCTTTCCATCTTAATCTCTAAGTGAAGGGGTTGTGTTTTAGATGTAACAGCTGGGGACTGGCACCTCATAGTCAATTGTTCTCTGCATTTTTGACCAGTTGTGGTTTTCTGTGATGGTTTTTGTTTGCTGTAAAATGAGTCTTCTTTGAACAGGGATGAAAGCTACATGTATCTGTGGATATAATAATAGTATTTAGGATGTAGTTGGGGATTGTGCTGGTTTAGGAATGTGGTAATAGAGAGTCCATGACCTCCACAACACACACTGGCTAAGTTTACAGTGCCAGGCAGAAATTTCCTCCTATGGAGAGAGCCTCATAGTCAATTAGGTGCCTGTTTCTTTTTTTTTTTTTTAACCCTGAAATATAAGTGCTACCATTTTACCTTGTGTATACATTTCTATGCTGACCATTGTCGTGGCTTATGGGGCTTACAGACGAATAGGAGGTTGTAAATTATACCATGAGAACACTATAGATAACCATCTTA